GTTGGATAAGGAACGAGATAATCCGGAGAGGTTCCGTCACGCCATTGGATCCCCCAAGCGTCATGACGAAGGCCGCATACGTTCCCCTGACCTTCAAGAGGGTCGAAGGGAAGAGCGATATAGAGAGGATGGACACCGTCGACAAAAGATGGATAATGTCCCTTCATCCTCGGTGCCTGCTCGCCGGCTTGACAATCGGACCCCTGACCATGAGGACCGTTATGCTGAAGATAGATATGATAAGAAACGTGTGAATCCAGAGAGGTACCATCACGCCACCACCTCCCCTAAGCGTCATGACGAAGGCCGCGCACGTTCCCCTAACGTTCAAGAGGGTCGTGTAGAAGAACAGTATAGAGAGAAGGAGCCCCGTCGACAAAATATGGATGGTGTTCCTGCACGCTCAGTGCATGTTCGTCGGGCTGGCAAACAGACCCCTGACCTTGAGGACCGCTATGCTGAATATAGATTCGATCAGAAACGAGAGGCTCCAGAGCGGTTCCATCACGCCACTGAATCCCCCAAGCGTCACGACGAAGCCCGCATACGTTACCCTGATGTTCGGGAGGGTCGTGTGGAAGAGCGGCATAGAGAGAAAGAACCCCGTCGACAAAAGATGGATGATGCTGCTGCTGCATCCTCAATGCCTGCTCATCGACCTGACAAGCGGACCCCTACCCGTGAGGAACGCGGAGCCGAAAATAGATTAGATAAGAAACGAGAAGATCCAGAGAGGTACCATCACACCACTCCTTCCCCCAAGCGTCATGACGAAGTCCGCGTACGTTCCCCTGACGTTCGGGAGGGTCATGAGGAAGAGCGGCATAGAGAGAAGGAACCCCGTCGACAAAAGATGGATGATGCTGCTGCTGCATCCTCAATGCCTGCTCATCGGCCTAACAAGCGGACCCCGGCCCGTGAGGAACGCGGAGCCGAAAATAAGCCGGAGAAGAAAAAAGCAAATCAAGAGAAAGCAAATGATGTCGCTGGGCCCTCCAAGCCTCAGCATCAGGCCCGCACACCGTCCCCTAACGTCCAGAAGGCTCGTGACGATAAACGTCCGAAGGAAAATGGACAGAGTCGACAAAAGATCAATGATGTTGCTGCATCCCTAATGCCTCCGGGTCTGGGTGGCAAACAGACCAGTGCTCAGAATAGGCAGGAGAAGAGGGCGGAGAATAAAAAGAAAGAAAATAACAGCCCATCCCCCAAGCGTCATAAGTAAACCCAAAATGCCTACGCTGCTTCGACTTCGAATCTGCCATCTTGAAATAATTGCCTATTTGAATTGAAATTGTCTTTTCTGATTTTCAATTCAACAAAAAAATAACAGACAGCATTTGATGCTGCAAACCTGGTTGTCTCTTTTACGGGGACTGGAAGTTCTTATGGTTCTACAAATAAATTTTTAAAAAGAATGGTAAGAAATGCTGTTCAAAGACCTTTGGATGAACACTTGGGTCCTAATAAACATTTCATTAAGGGTTCATATGATACGATGGCACGAGGCCTGGTGTCGTGAGTCCCAGAGCGTGCAGTAGTTTTAGCTTCCTCGAAATACGACTGTGGTCTTTTATAATGGTCCGTAAATACTTATTCTGTTAGGATGTTCTCGCGAGTAAGTAGTACAAGATGAGTGAAGCTCGTTGAAAGTCGAGAATCAGAGAGACCTTTGGGCGCTAGGCACCATCTCTTTTAAATAATAGGACAGTTTATGCATGGTATGCGATACACTTCTCCAGATTGTTCCTTTGACCTTTTTCAATTCACTTTTATGAACGGTCTGCGATTTCCATTGGCCTGTTGCGCATGGAAACATTGGACCAGTGGGCAATTCCATCACCTGGTTCCGCAACCATGTGTTCAATCGCTTCTGAGGTGTCCTTGCTGCGCTTACCTAGGCTGAATTCGTTCTCCAGGCCTCACACGCTCGCTGTCTACTCGCGCGCGATAAACTCCCTCGCACTTTCATAGTCACTCGCTGCGAGAGGCCCGCAATGTCCTGCCTTTCCCCCGCTCTCGGCCGACTCGCTTACTGAGGTGTACATCTCTTTTAACCAATCGATGCGCGCCGTGCCACTTAATTGGCTAAGGCTACATTCCGCATTCAGGCCTTCGCAGTAGCAGGCAAAAGTTCGTGCAGACGCAGTTTTCAGCTGGCAGAAAACACAGCTT